ATATATATATATATATATATATATATGTCAGACGTTTCTTTGTTGTGTGGGTGTCTTGCTGGCTTATGATGAGGTGTAAACGAGCAATCTATAGAGTTTTTGATCTAGTGTTGATGAGAGATAGTCTGCATTGATTTTTGTGACAAGTATCTCGAGGGCAGTGGTTGGTGAGAACCACAGGGGATCAGTTGTTGGGCAGTTGCTGATGCTTATCCACAATCGGGGTTAAGGTAGATTGTCACTTACAGTGTAAATAGTTAGGGGATTTTGCAGGTTATCGAGGGTTTAACCTCCTAATGTGTAGGTGAAACTCCGACCAAACAGTTACGGCTTATCGGTGTCGGAACCTTTGGTTCTCAAATCGAGTTCTGACATGTGATAAGGATGTGCATGCTAAAGAAATTTGGAAGAAAGAAATAGGAAAGAAAGGAAAGGTCGGACATATGACTAAGATGGACCATTGGTGCACAGAGTCCCACGATGGGACTAAGAGCGTCGGGACGAGGAGCCCAAGATGAGATCCAGGATCAGTAGAATGCAAAAACGAAAACGAAGAGGGAAAGAGCCGCAAGGCCACAAAAACGTAGATTGGATTAAGGAAAAGGGCAAGAAATATATTGAAAGGATGTTCGGAGAAGACCGGGAAAGACGATATCATCAGTAATCTTAAGAAAACTAGAAAAGATGAAGCGAACGGAGATGGAATGATGTCATTTCAAGCCTGGAAGGTTTTGAACGTCGATGCCCACGACATGTTAAACATACATACGTTACGTGGATCAAATGGGTAAGAAATTGATCATTGAATAGAGTGGGCGCAACCAAGGGCATGTGGACGCGCCAAGCAACAAGGATGTCATCGGCAGTCAAACGAGACATGGAAAATACCTTACGGAGATGTGACTATCAAAGGGCAAAAAATAGTAAAAAGGCGGCTCTTCCTCTTAAAGAAGGAGGATCGTTAGAAAACGAAAATACAAGTAACAGTGTCACAGGGGATGGGGCTCGGTTGGTGCAGCCACAAAAGACGTAAGCGTGCGGCCTAATGGGCCACCCACATACGGCATGCGAAAAGGCTAAGTGTGACGAGCGCGGGGCTGGGGGAGATCCGAGGGAGAGGAGAGAGAGTGAGAGCACACACACACACTCACGTACTCGACACGATCGAGGGTTGGATGCAGACACAGTGGGAAGGGCACAAAGTGGAAGTCTTGGATTCCGAATGCTGAAACAGCAAGTCACATTGAGTACGAGGACACCAGCAGAAACTGGCATGAGATCGGTCCCCGTACGGGGAGTCAGTATAAGTACCAATGACACGTACGGTACGAGGGGCATTTCCGCAAAAGCCCCGAGGGCAGAACTGAAAAATGCAGTATTTGAAAGCGGCGCCCGAAGTGGAGCATGGTGCCACTTGTCCAAAATCCAACGGTACCAAAGGAGGGTTTAGAAAACAGGTTGCCAGGTCGAAACTGGGACGCAACAGAAACAACAAAACGATAGACCAGGAATTGAGCCCCGGCGGAGTCCGTAATACTATCCCCTCCCTCTAAAAGGCAACGTCCCGGCTGCCCAAAAGGCAAGGAAACAAAAAGAGAGGTGAAGGACGGGACAGGGCCGATCACTGGTCGGAGAAGGAGAAGGGGAGTGATGCAACTTAAAGGGTATTATGTCTGGTGTTCTGCACAGGTGAAGGTATGATGTGACTGGGTGGGTCTATAGGGGAAGCTAAGCAATGTTCGGGGAACAGGGGATTTCTATTGATGTTCTACTAGGTAGGGAAAACGATGTTGAGGAAAACAGATAATTTTTATTGATGTTCTAGTGTGTAAGGGAAACAATGGTATGGGGAACTGGAAATTTCTACTGATGTTCTAGTGGGTAAGGGACACAATGGTCAGGGGATCTGCTAATGATGTTCTACAAGGTTGTCAAAGTCAGGAAAAATAAATAAAAAATAAATAAAAACGGAAATGTTTATTCAGTAGGCAAGGGCTAGTGCGTCCGAAGGAGTTGGAAGCAGAATCGCATGTGGGAACAAAGTATCCAAATGTCTTGAAAGGGGATCTGCAGCAGTCTTGATCATCTCTTGGAGTAGGTGGTAGAAGCGGTCTTCAGCGGCTGCGACAGGTAGAAGTCAAAAAAGCGAAACAGTAGTTCAAATGTCCAAAGTCCAAGTGTTGGGGTGCATCCGGTACACGAACTGCAATGAGGTCTGATCAGGAAGCAAGGAAGTCGCAGACTGATGCAAAGATCCATGTTACAAGTTGCTGCTCCAGTAAGTCCGGGAGTCACGATGTCGGCCGATGAAACAACATGGTGGCCAAACCAGCTGCATAATCTCCATGAACAGTGAGGCAGCAGCCCATCGTCCTCGTGCGCTTGCCATTAGATCCTTTATCGTCGACGTCTCGCAGGTTCATAAGCATCGGACGAGAGAGACAAGGAAGTGGAGAGGACAGATGGGACAAGGCTAGGCGAGGGCAAGGGCAGATCAGACATCAGGAATCGGGATCGACGGGAGGGTGGACTGGGTTCAAGGGTATGTGTAGAACCGGGTTGCGAGGTTGTGGCAAAGTTTATACAGGGGTTTAGGGTTGTAGTTACGTGGGTGTCTAGGACATAGGAGTAACAGAATGATAAGCGCGAACAAGTTTCATGGCATTTTTTAGATTCGAGAGAGGTTCACATGTAGATTCTTCGTCGAGGTATCCATTTGACTTTGTATTTAGTGATTTGTTCCAGGTGGTGAGATACGTGAGTAGTTCGTCGACCCATGATCGCTTCAACAATGAATTCAAGGTTTGTGAGTATTATGATAGATGGAGGTCTAGGATTTGGGCCGTCAGCGAATTGGGGGTGGGGGTTTATGATTTTAAGTATTCGACGTGGAAGACCGGGTGCACGCGGCTTATGTCGGGGGAGAGTTGGAGTTTGTAGTTGTCGTCGAAGGTTTTTTCAATGATAGGGAAGGGTCAGGGCCATTTGTTCGAGAGTTTCTTTGACAATTCATGTTCGGGTAGAAAGCGTTTGGCGGGAAGCCAGACTTTGTTCCCTACTTTGAATTGCAAGTCTCATCTGTGTTTGTTGGTCTTGTTTGCTTGTTGTTCGTGTGTTCTTTCGAGGGCTTTGGTTGCTTCTCTGAGGAGTCGATTCGTTGTTGCTACCCATTCATTGAGGGAAGGGCAAGGTGTAGAGGGATTGAGTTGCGAGGGAAGCAGAAAATCAGAGGGCAAGTGCGAATGGTAGCCAAGGTCAAGGTAGAATGGAGACATGTCAGTGAAAGGACAAACAACGTTGTTGTAGGCGATCTCGGCGGCGGTGAGTAGCTAATCCCGGTCGTATTAATGTGGATGACAGTACTTCCGTAGGATTCTTTGGAGAGTATCGTCCATCTTTTCGATTTGTTCATCGGTCTGTGGGTGGAATGCAGTGCTATACTTGAGTGTAGTTTCGTAGGCGTTGAAGAGTTATTTCCATAACTGTGAGAGGAAACGGGGATTGTGGTCGCTGATGATGTTCTCTGGGAGGCCGTGGTGGCGTGCAACATGGTCGAAGAAGGGTAAGGCGATGTTTTTGGCGGTGTGCGAGGTGGTGCAAGGGATGAAGTGGACGCGTTTGGTCAGGCGGCAGACAATGACGTAAATGTAATCATGCCCGCGGTCGGTCTCAGGGAGGCCGCACACGAAGTCCATGGAAATGGACTTCCACCAGTAAGAGCGGATGGGCAATGATTGGAGTTTGCCGGGTTCGGCCCAATTCGAGGGATTGGCAGCCTGACACGTGGGACATGAGTGAATGTACGTTTTTACATTGGTGAGTAGAGGCAGCCAATAGAAGTAGCGGGAGACGGTGTCGAAGGTTTTCTGGAAACCGAGGTGAGTTGCGGTCTTGGCGTCGTGGTGCTTGGCCAAGACCTGGGTACGGAGACCACGTGTGTCAGGGATGCACAGTCGGCGAGTGTCTTTGGTGTCAATGTAGAGGAGGTTGTCATGGAGGGAGTAGTCAAGGACTAGGTCAAGATCGCGGAGCTTGTTGTAAATGGTGGCGAAGTGTGGGCAAGAGAGGTAGCCTTGGGTGTATCGGTGATGGAATGATGGGAGGAGCTGGATATGGGTCATGACAGTGGAGACTTTCTCGGCGGGCTTGTAGTCGGGTCGTCAAGAAAGGGCACCAGCAACGCGGTTGCTTTTGCCGGGTGTATGACAAATGGTGAATGTGAACTGGCAAGAAAGGTAAGCCATCGAGCTTGGCGTGGGGTGATGTCTTTCTTGGTGAGGATGGAAGAAACGATGGTGTTGTCAGTGCGGATGGTGAAGTGTTGCTCATCGAGGTACGAGCGCCAGATTCTGAGGGTGTGAATTATGGCAAGGAGTTCCTTCTCGTTGGAGGGGTAATTCATCTTCGCGGGAAGGAGCTTCTTGCTTGCGAAGGCAATGGGGTGTTCGCCAGGTGGAGCCTCGGGCGAGTCCTTGATGGAGGGGGTCTCCGCTGTGTCGCGGGGGAAATGTCGGGACAGTACGGTTTCAATGGCGAAGTCGGAGGCATCAGTGGTGACATATAAATGGAGAGTGGGGTCAGCAATCTTGAGGACAGGGGTCGTGGTGATGGTTTGTTTGAGGAAGTCGAAAGCATGGTGGCGGCGATCGTTCCAATTGAAGGATTCGTCCTTGCGTGCGAGTTCGTGGAGAGGGTAAGAGATCTCGGAAAAGTTGCGAATGAAGGGGCGGTAAGAGTTGGCAAGGCCRAGGAAGGAACGAAGTTGGAGGAGGGTTTTGGGCGGGGGGTACTCGACGGGTGCTGTGACCTTCGAGGGGTCCATACTGATGTCTTCGGCGGAGACAATGTGGCCAAGGTATTCGACGCTCGAAGCAGCAAACGTACATTTGTTGAACTTGGCGTAAAATTTTTGCTCTCGGAGGATCGAGAGGACTTGGCGAATGTGCTGAAGGCGGGACTCAAAGGTGGGGTTAAAAATGTGGATGTCATCAAGGTACACGACGACACAGACTTTGAGGAGGTCACAAAAGATGTGGTTCGTGGTGGATTGGAATGTGGCGGGGGCATTGGTGACTCCGAAAGGCATTACGAGGAACTCGTAGTGCCCGAACCAAGAGCGGAATGCGGTCTTGTGGGTGTCCTCCTCGAGGATACGGATCTGGAGGAAGCTACTACGGAGGTCGATCTTGGTGAAATATTTGGCTCCACGGAGGCAATCAAGAAGTTCGGATATTCGGGGGAGTGTGTACTTGTTCTTGACTGTGATCCAGTTCAAGGCACGGTAGTCTGTGCACATGCGGAGTTTCGAGGTGTCGTTCTTCTTGACGAAGAGGCAACTGGTTCCAAAGGGGAAGGAGTTAGGCTTACTGAATTCTTTTTCAAGGAGTTCATTGAGCTGGCGCTTCATTTCTTTGGCCTCGGGAACGAAGAGTTGGTACGAAGGGCGGGAAGGAGGAGAATGGTTGGGCTCGAGATCAATGGTGTGCGATACACCTCGATCGGGAGGTAAACCGGTGGGCAAGGACTCGGGGAAAACATCCTTGAATTCAGAGAGAAAAGCGGTGATGTGAGGATTGGAAGGGGGGTCTTGGTCGGGTTTGTCCGTTGGAAGCAAGTCCTCGGGATGCTCGTGATCGATGATAATGCAATGGTAAGCGGAGTTGGGGTGTTCACGAGACATGTGAAGGAACTGGTGATGGGAGACAGGGGGTGGGGTAAAATGGGGGAGAAGGTAAGGGATATCAAGAGGAGAGTTAGGAGGGCGAGTGAGTTGGACGAAGGAGGGGTGGAAGGAGTAGAGCTTGAAACGGTCAAGCCATGGAGTCCCAAGACGATGTTGCACATTGAGATGCATGACATCGAAGGAGACCTGACTTCGGACCGATAGTCATGAGGGTCTCGGGGACAGTGCGATCGACAACGATAGCTGAGTCCTTACCCCTTAGTCGGATGGTGATCGGGGAGTCGTAGTCGGTGGAAGAGAGGCCGGCATTGCGGACACAGGCTTCGGTGATGAAGTTGCCGGTGACACCAATATCAAGGAGGGCCCAAAACTTCACCGTTGATGCGTCGAGGGAGACGACGATAAACTTGAGTTGGAACCGTGCGGTTCCGACACAAGCAGAAGAGATCATGGTGTTGAGGTGGCGTTGTTCCAAGCCTAATCTAGATCCGATCGTGTCGTGCTTGTTCCTCAACGAGATAGCAGAAGGTGGCGGAGGACGGGTTAGGGATGAGAGTAGAAGAGAAGGTGCCAGTGGGAAGCTCGACCGACGGGACAGCAGACGTCATCGGGAGGGGGGCAGGCGGAGTAGATTATGTCGCCTGGGGGTCATTCGATGGGATGTGCATCAACTGGGAGGGGGTAGGCAGACGGATAGTCGATGCCAAGTGGGCCACCGGTGGAGTAGAGATTGTCGCCGATGGGAGAGTCGACAGACAAGTGGTCGATGTGGGGGGAGGGTTGCAAGAGTCAGAGGGATAGTGGTCATGTGGAGGGGGGCCCAAGTAGTAGAAGGGTCAGGTCCCGCGGAGCCAGGGGCCTGTCGAGTAAAGCGGCTAGCAGTGAGGCAGTTGGTTTGTTGATGACCTAACTGGCGGCAGTGAAAACATACGTTGTGTTCGTGAAGGCATATGCGTTCTTCGGGTGTGAGTTTTTGAAGACGACGGGTTGGAGAGGAAAAAGGCGGTCAGGGGGCACGCGCCTGGTATTCCATCCGCAGAAGGTGGGCGGCCTGGAGGTCCTCAAGGGTGAATTGGGATGGGTCGAGAGAGGCAGTGTCGAAGTCGTCATCAGAGGGCGATGGAGTGGTGTCGTCAGGGCTGATGTTATGGAAAAAGCGGGGGCGGGAGGGAGCGGGAATGGATTGGTGATAAGGGTGGAGGAGTAGATCGTGGTGAAGCATGCGAGAGAGGAGGTCAGTAAGGGGCATGTCGGGTTCGTGAGTGAGGGCGGTTGCGAGATCTTTGTGGCATACTCGCTTGATGTGGTAGATGAACGCAACGTCAGGAATGACGGTGGTGGGGAGGTGATGGCGGAGGGAGCGGGTGTATTGGACGAAACGGTCCGTTAGACCGGTCTGGCAGGGGTGAGAGAATGGTGTGAGGTAGTCATCGATGGTTTTCTGGGGGCGGAAGGTGGTAGTGAGAAGGTTGGCCCATTGGAGGACGGAGTGACACGGTCCTCCGGAGGTGCGGCGTTTGCTGACTTTGGCCATCCACCACTTGGCGGCATTGCCGAGGAGCGGAAGGTGGCAATGGAAAGCCAGTGTGGTGGAGCTTGAAAGATTGCAGGAGTTGGGTCAGGAAGAGGAAAACATTCTCGTGGGGAAGGTCGGAGAAGGGCATGATGTCGGCGCATTGGAAGGAACGGGGGATTTCCCCTTCGTGGGAAACGATCCGGGCGAGGGTGTTGAAGTTGAGGTTATCAGGGGTAATGTCGTCGCAGGTGTAATCGAATTGGCTGTTGTCATCAAGAAGGTGGTTGGGGGGAATTTGTGGCATTGCGGGGTAAACCCCGGAGGTGACTTGGGAATAGGTGGGACGGGGGGTGGGGATGGTGGAGGTCGTCATGATGGGTTGTGAGATAGTATGGAAGTGCGTGGGGGGAAGAGGGGTGACGTGGTTAGGCGAGGAATGAGGCAGTGTGCTGGAAGCGCCGGATGAGGGGGGGGAAGGGTGGAGGAGGCAAAGGTGGGGGATGTGGTGGTAGAGGTAGTAGGAGCGGAGGAGGTCGGCGGGGGGATGTGGCTGGAGGCAGCTGTGGACGTCGGGGTGGTGGTGGTGACCACTGACCACCTAGATGGAGGGGGTTGTGGTTTGGGGCTCAAGGGCGGTGGATGTGGGCACGGTCGTAGAGGTGGGTGTCGTGGTCGTGACCACTGTGATTGTCGAGGTTTGATGGTCGATAGAGGTCACGAGGTTGGATACGCCAGAGATATTGATTTCGATTTTGGTGATGGACGCGTGGATGTCCGTTTGGAAAGAGGACATTATGCGAATGAGGGTGGTGATATTGGTGGCAAGGGGCTCGGATCTTTGTTCGCCCGTAAGTTCGCGAGCGAGGCTGTGAACAGACTGAGTGTTGACAGCGGTCATATCGATGCTGGAGGATGGGGGAAGATGGAGTGGCTGCGGTGGCTGAGGCGACGACTGCGGATGAGATGGAGGTAGACGCGGCGGCAGCGTCGGGAGGTATTGGTTTGGCGTGGTGGCATGTGGAGATTTGGGTGTGGCAGGGGGTAGGGGTAGGGAGGGTATTTACATCATTGATTGATTTATTCAAGAATAAGTAAAGGTATTTACCAAAACAATAAATGAAGAAAATAAAAATTAATTCAAAATAAATTATTTCGATTTGGAGTAGTCATTCGAGATTAATTCAAAAATTCGGAAAGGATTTCGCGGGAGAAAAGTTGGAAATACGAAATTTTCAGGAATGAAATAAATGCAGAAAAAAAAAAAAAAGGTCAAATATTCGAAATGAATTATAAAATTTAAAAAACGT